ATAGATATAGATATGTATATATATATATATACACATATAAAGAGTATACTATGATACTCTACAGTATATTATAGTATATAATAAGGGGGATAATTGCCACCGAAGCATCTCAGAGAGACTGGCAGACTCTCGGAATCTCAGCGCAGCAGTTGCCGAAGAGTCTCAGGGCAAGGAACGGTAACAGCGATCCAACACAACTTCTCAGGACAAAACAATCGCCTCTTCACGTCATGGAGTACAGATTACTAAGGTCGAAAATGAAAATCCGAAAGCAAAAACGCAAAACTGAAGTCAAGCTGGCGCCTGCATAGACTTGTGCGAAGTAGTTGAGGACACACTCCTTGCACAGTGACTGTGTGACTTGATCAACGGGGGTGTCTGATCATGATCTGCGCTTCCTGTCAGCTACTCTCAGTCAATTGATCCAAGCCGCCGTGTCCCAGAACAAGCTGACGGTTCGCAGAAGCAGCACCTCCTGAAAGGAGAACACAGGCTTGCAACATGACTGCTGTGTGTTCGCTCCCAGTTTTTGTTGCACCAACTGAGATGCACAGGAATCAGATTCAACAGAGCCTGCGCCCGCTTTGGCCAATAAGTCGCCTGCCAGGATATTAAATCATGGCCGGCATGCTTGACATGCGACCAATAGATCTGCAGCCGGAGCTTAACTTCTTCTGGAAAGCGTTCGGAACGGTTTTAAACCTGTCTGAACATATCCACTCGACGCACGGAAACAGAAACCGGGACTTCTGCAGCTGCTGCGCCGGACGTGCCTCTGTGTATGTACATATAGGTCGGATGACCGGCAATGATATGCCGGTGCCATACCTCTGATAACTGCTCATGCCCGTCACGGCCACAACTGTCTAGAACATAATAGGCTCGGTTAGAGTAGCACTTCCGATCGAGCTTCATGGTGCCGGTCAAAACAGACCAAGTTGCGCGACCCATTCCGCAAAAAGTGGCGTGGTGGCAGCAAAGATGTGCCGTTCATCTAGAGCCATCTCCTTTGTTGCACGTTCGTGATCAGCAGCAGGTGCCACAGTCATAGAAGCACATCGCACCATCTTGATCGCTACTAGCCGCTAGCAGTCCGAGGCTCGTAAAACTGTTGGTACCACTCAGACCGGTCTTCGGCCCGAACCTTCGAGAAGCGGCTTTGGTGCACAAGCTTCACAGTGGGCACAAGGTTTAACTGTTTAGATCGGATCTTCAAGCGTGTGCATTTACAGTTGCTACAGCAACGCTGAGATTTACGCCCGCACTGGGGCATGGATCCTTGTGTGACTGCAACCAGCTGCAACACTCCGAGACACTGACGTACACGGAGATGGGAGTGGAAATATAACCAATCACCTTCGGCAGCCAAAAAAAGCGTGACCAAGACTTGCTCCGACATACACCTTGGATCTGGCCCCGAGGCTGTCACAGGTCGGCCGAAGTGCGCCAACAGCCGGCAGAAAAGGACAGGCTCCCCACACATGAAGAAATCCTTGGGCGAAGGAGAAACCCGCAGTATGTCTTCAGGGCTGCAGGCAGACGTTGCTGCCGCATTTACTACAGCTGCACCCCTGGCAATCGATCCAGGAGCACGCTGACCCAGCTTGCGCCCAAGAATCAGCAGACCGCAGCTCGGGATCGTTGCCCATGAGCCGCACGAACCGGTCATGATACTCTTGCGCCTGATGTGGCAACAAGACAATGAAAGCACCGCACTGCATCTGCAGCATTGACCTCCTTGAAAGAATATCCGAACTGCGGCCGTCAACTAGAGATTGTTGCATAAAGTCCAGTACCGCTCCCTGAGAACCGCCGCAGCATACTGACCAACGTCAAATATCTGATCGCAACTAGCCTGGATTGTGCAATCCTGAAAACACATGAAAGCTTACAGACCGCTGCATCCACGGCACGGATCTGAGGAAATGATGTCGTGCCTCTGCGAAGGTTTGACAGGATGCACGGGACAAGTGAATAAGTAAAGTCTCGCTAAACTGAGCAGCCTTGTGGTCGCCCGTGTGGCAGTCCAAAACAACTTCCTGCCAGGCACCGAATCCGAATTTCATGTTCAGTTGACTCTTTGGTGCCTATTCAGCACACGGATGCTGCACAAACACAAGTGACCAACGAGGTCCTCAAAGAGTTCATTCAGTTGAAGGAGGCGCTCATCCGAGCCGCACCACCCTCCGCCCTGGGAATTCATTGGTCATGCTCTGAAATCGTTCATAGCCAGGCACATCAAACTATGCCAGCCACGACACGGTGGCGGGAGCAGGGTCTCTGCCACAGACCAAAAAAAGCACCCTGTGGGACTGCGGCGGGAGAGCGATTTGGACTGCACGGCACGGTGGCGGGATCTCCAGTGCTGCACTGTGCCCCACGGCGGATTTCGAGACAACACCCCCGAGCCCAGTGTCGGCGCCGACGGGACCAACGTGGGACTGTGGAAAGAGTATGCAGTTGTGCAGTTGCGGTCGAAAGCGTCAAAAAGGGGACGGCGGAACCGCGGGCCTGCCGGGGGCATCTCACAGCGACAGTAACCTAACCCCTTTACTCAGAGCACAAAGGGGGCAAAGCAAACATGTTTCACATTACCTGTCCAGCTTGTTGAAAAGTTCACTTCCGTGCATGGCGTATTGCAACAGAAATGGAAAGAAGAGCATCTTGGATTTGTAGGTGGCAAGCTGCAACCAGAAGTTCTCAGGCTTTGGGAATTATTTTTGGCCATCATGGGTGTATGGCTGCAGGCAGAGTCAACTCGACTCTTTCGGATGCATCAAAAGTCACCAGTTGGCTTGTCTTGCCGAAGCCGACTATGTCAATATTCCCCTGTTCACTTGCTTCTCAGGGCGCGGCTATGAAGCGGCAGTGGTTGTGCAAGCGAGCCACATCCTTCGACAGCATTCCACGCGATCCGTCCCTCCCAGAGCCATTGACTTCGATCGAAGCAGCAATGTCTCATGCACCTGGTGCCCACCCCTGAAACAGGCATGTGCTCCATGTTGGCACGCCGTTTGTTGAAGCGTGGAGACTACCAGGGAAAGAGATGAGTCTGTAAGATCCCATCTCTCCGACTTAAGTCATTCGGAGGACGCTCGTCAACAACTGCACGATGGCCGCATGGTGTTAGTTTCAACGGTCGCTGAAGACGTTCTGCTGGCAAGACCACTAAGCAAACCCAGCAAGCCCACTACACAGCTTCCTGCTTTCCAAACCAAGTGGACGATCGACAGCTACGAAGCCCTGCTGTTGCAGAGCTGTTGCACACGACATCCAACTCGTCCTCCGGAGTTTTCGCGGTTGCATCCAAAATGTGCAAGATAGCCTCCACTTCGAAGAGGTGACTCAACATGTGCTGCCTGAGCACAACGGGTCGGTCTGTTCAATACCAGCCAGGGCCGAAGGGAACGAGACAAGAACTGATCGATGTGTCTATCAAGAGTAGGTGCTAATCCTGCTGTAGATCATCGGCAGTCTGCAAACGACCAGATCAACGAAGGAGACTGGCCAACTAGCAGCTCCAAGGGGCAACGCTCTCAAGTCCCTCACACCCGAAGCCTTGGCAGAAAACATCACCCCCAAAAAAAAAACGCTGCAAGCCACCAGGGCGCCAGAAAGAGAGCGGCTCCCGCAGCAGCGCCGTGTGGTACCTTGTGGAAGCACTGTTCAAGGAGCACTTCTCGACGAGGGAGCCAGAAATCAACGTCTCGAGATCAGGCTGCTCTGGCACCAAGTCTTCGCAAATCAGGTAATTGCATAGCCACGATGCGAGATTGCCACTGCCTTCAGTCGGCGAACATCTGGGAACCTCGTCACATAAGCTTGGGGCATTCAACTTTAGGGCTCATCAAAGCTCATTGCAGGCCGGGAGCCTGGTGTGAACCGGGTTCCTGCAAAGAAACAAGCTCGTAACTTGTTTTGAAAACCTGTCAACGTTGCAAGTCTCTCCTGCGAACCACCAACTGGGGTATCCGCAGCGCTGAAGGCAGTGCTGCGTCGCGGGAAACCCTCGCACCGGGCAGATTCAAAAATGATAGAATGCCATGCAAGGATATGAGAGATTAAAACCCGGTCCTGTACCCGCTGCTCCCAACAAACTTCGTGCTGAGAGCTTTGGCCATTTCCACCATTTTCACGTGCCACCCGGAGCTTTCCTTGACATAAGACCATCAACAAGAACTGCTCAGGCCACTCGTGTGCGGGTCATCGGAGCCAAGGCTCAAGGAAGTGCATGGCATTGAACTTTGATGCATCATTCAAAAAGCCTTGGCTCTTTTAGACGTCGGCAACAGTGCGGAAGGCCTTTTTGGGCACCCCTTTCCTGTCAAGGTGCCCCAGGCGTTGTTCGCCCATTCTGCCATGCCCGGCACGTTGGCGAAGTGCTGGTTGCCAAACACCCCCAGCCTTGGCTGATGCCACGAAATTGGCTCAAAGTATCTCAAAGTGAAATGGCCAGAGGTGTGGTGGATCAGGTCCGTCTAGCAGTGGTGGCTGACTGCAGAACGGAAGCAGCATTGACTAGCTGCTCCAAGCGACCACTGCACTGTGGCGAAACCGTAGAAGCAGAAATTCTGCTGCAGGTCCTGCTAGCTTCCACATTTCTCCACATGTCTTCTCAAAAAGGGCTTGTTGGACCAGGACAGAAACTGGCTTCGAAAAGGCCCTTCAAACACGATGCTACGACAGCACCTCGCTCTCGCCCAAGAAGCAAGACCCACGACCAAGAGAAGCAGATGGACTCCCCAAGGCTGTGCTTGACGGCTGTGGGGAGCTGTGCCTGACCTGTGTTGCCTCCTTCTTTCAGCAGCGGTGCCTCAAAGCTCCGGGGTTTAGGCTGCGTGGGGCCCTTCCGGCTGTACACGGGAAGCAAGCTCTGAGTCGTTGTGGAAGCGTAGCTGCTTCAAAGGTGCCAGGCGTGACGGCCCTTTAAGGAACGCAAGGCTTCACAGGTCCGGGCTTGAGGCGGTCTCTTCTGGGAAGGCACGGACTGGGCCCTTGTTGCCACCTCAGGAGAAGCCGCTATCTCTGAGCGTGGTCGCTGCTGTGCAGGTGTCCTCGAGGTGGAAATTGTGTCTGTGTCTGCTCGTCCAGCACTGTCGCTGGCATGGCCTCTTCGAGCTGCGGAGCTTCTATCATCTAGCTCGGCACATCTCGCGAGACAGGATTCTCCTCCTTCATGGCTTGTACACGCAGCAAAATCCTGCTTCCTCAAGCTTCCATGGCTTCTTCCCGCAGCAAAATGCTGCTTTCTCAAGTCCCTAAAATTTGAGACACATGCAGAGAAGAGCACAGTAGCTGCTTGACGGCTGTGGGCTCCTCGGGGACTTCTCCAAGGCGTTCTGGACTGCAAAGGTGGAACACAGACCAGTCGCTGGCATACTTCACCTCGGAGGCGGCTCCCGGGGGCAACTGACTGCCAGGCTTCTTATGCATCTACAATCTAAACACATGCCTGACAAATCTCCGAAGAAGGGCTGCTTCCTACTATAGCCAGCAGAACACCGAGCACAGAACCTCGCTATGGCATTCGCAGTAGAATTTGGACAAAGCTGTGCCCTCCCGACGGGCAATTCTGCAGGCAAACGAAGTGGAAAAGGGTTGATTCGTTCGTTGTTTGGAACTCGGGCCCAAGCTGCCTTTCACTGAAAACCTTCACGAGCTGATGCCGAAGGCAGAGGAAAAGGAAGCTCCCAAAATGGGAAACACTGCCACAAGGGAATGAAGAGCACGTTTGGACTCTTGCAGGACTCAGGCTCTTGAAGATGTGAAGCAGGTTCCAAACTAAACCTAATCGTAGATCATCGCCATGAGTTTGCCTGCTTGGTTGCCCGGGCCCTGACAGTTGCAGGCTTGGGACCACACAAAGGTGGGCTCGTAGCGCCGCCCCAAGTCGTTGGCTTCCGCGAGAATCTGTGCCAACCCACATGCTCGAACGTCTCAAGTCTGGGAAACCGAGCGACCACATGCTCATCTGCTTTCCATGCTTTGCGCCTCCTGCATGTGCCGGATTATTTCCTGATTGTCATTCGCTGATGCGAACAGCTTGCGGAATGCGGCAAAGCGCTCCCGGAATCTGCTCCATTCCTCACCAACTTGACCACTCCAAGCTCTGGGGTTGCGTGCTACCACCAGCTGTGCACAGATGCGGAATGCTGTGCAAGGTTTGGCGTTCTGAGGCTCAAGCCGGATGGTTGGAGCAGTCGAAATACCACGGCGCCTAGCAAAATGCAGGTACTTGGGACCTGGTGCACTGCCTCCATGTTGTCCTCTGCTCAACCAGGCTATGGCACTGGTCCCAGGCCGGTACAGTCGCACAAAAAATCGAGCAGTCTCAAGCTTCAGGGTGCGACCCGACAGTGGCAGTTAGCAGCGGCCGAAGCAATCAAAGCCGAAAAAACAGGCAATCTCGGAACAGGGATCCTGGAGGACAACCTCGTCATCCGCGGCTGCCACTAAGATGAAGCTCCTTGGCGTAAGCATGAGCTCAATGAGGCTCAGACACATGCTACCGGAAACAGGGAGACTTCAATGGAGTAGACCATCCCCTTCAATACCCGAGATCCGCACGGATGGCTATACGGCTACACTAAAGCAACAGAATTCTGAGCATCGCTACGACTTGGGCTCCAGCAGGAGGCCAATCCGGCACGGGTTGGCCATGAGAGGACTACAGGACCAGCATTTGATATGCCTTTGAAGACTAACTCGATCTCGACGGATGACACTGAGAACTTTATTGCCTTCGGAACAAACTGCATTCATGTTTGGAAGCTCGGTGGACGGGTGGATGATGCACTAACATGAATGTCTCGATGCGTGGCGTCAAGAGCCAAGTTTGTGCAGCAGAGTGCTCGCAATCCACTACCACATCAGTCCTGCAATGTGAATAGCAGACAGCGGCATCGACACGCACAAAGCTAAAAGGCTGTTCCAGGGGAGAACCAGAAACCGAAATACCTGTGACACCTGAACCCCAAAACGGAAGACAGGTGGCAAGAGTTGCCTCAAACCGAAAATGCAGCAAAACAACCCGGCAAAGCTTGTCTGTTCGGTCGGGTTCATTCGACGTCTCCTCAGGAACTGAGGAGTTATTGTACAAACTCCACAAACTCCTGCGACTTTACAGAGGCTATCACGGTAATGTGTCGATGTTGCGAGGACAGGGTGCCGCAGGGAGACATCTGTCATTCAGTCGGGGCTGCTCTGCCGCCGTTGGTAGGATGCTTCGGGTGTGTGGCTGTGTGTGCGGACATTGCAGAAGCGCTCATGGTCCCGCTGGAACTTGGCAGCCTGGCAACTCATGAAGTGGGCGCAACAGCTTGCAGCCATGACACGAACGGGGCACCCGCTAGCGAGCTGGTTCAGACGTATCATCTTCGGAGCTAGACAGCTTCAATATCTGCTCGCAGTCTGCGGAACCTCTGCTGCTCTGCTAGGTCAGCGAAGACCGCGTTCGACTCCGGAGGCTCCCCGAAGCAGTCCTTGGCGAGTGCAGAGATCGGAGAAACACCCTCACGCACAGGAAGTGGGCGTAGGCAGCCGGCTTGGATGCCGCAGCCTGGGAAGGCACTTTGCCAGATGAATCGGCGGAATGCAGAATTATACTTCTGAAGTCTGCAGACAGAAAGAGCACCGGCATCGGCCTTCTTCGGGGCTGGTTCCAAGGACTGGACGACCAGCTGGCCGATCCTCAGGAAGACGAAGACATGGCTCAAAACTGCTTCTAACGTATGCGCAGCTACACCAGTTCACCCCCGTGCACACCGCCGCAGAGCTCGTTTTTTTGCGTGAGTTAAGCGATACCGGCTGCCCTTCCAGACTCCCAAGCAGAATCAGGAAGGCATGCCAGGCTTGCGGTTCTTGACCCAAACTAGCAGTTCGTCTTTGTCACCGCTTCTGATGCTCATTGTGATTTTGTCGCTGTAAGTAATCTGCTGGCCAGTCTTCAGCTCAAAGCTTAGGTGCCGCAACAGCTCAACGGCGGCGATCTTCGCCTCGAAGATGGCCTGCATGGTAGCGTCGGCTCCATACCCTCCTCTATATCTCTTTACTTGTGGTCAAGCGGGCATTGTCACAATTGTCGGTTTCTCCGAACTTGCTAAAATACAAATGCCTAGTGGTGGCCCCCGTCTCTCCTGGGCAGTGTTTCTGCTCCAGACAACAATGGCGAACTGGTAAGGAACCCATGCTTGGGGGCCTATGCAGAAAGACGAAATGCCGCTGACACTCCACTCGCACAAGTCGACATGCTCCTTGATAAACGCGATCAAGATGTTGTAGTCGTATTTGAGTTTACTCTGTCCTGTCCAATGCTGAGTCAGCATTTGAAGCCGTGTGAGGTCTCATTATGAAGCTGGCCTCAACGGCTTCACGTGCAAAGCCCCAATACACGAACGGTTTTATCTGAAGCTCCAAAGTTTTGGCCACGGTTCAGCCACCATCAAACGCACAAGACCTAGCCAAAACCAACATTCTGGTTATGGTCTTTTGGCTGCCGAGTCGCCATGTCCATGCCGAGGCAGATGCGTGGTCCTGCCTCTAGGAAATCCATCATTCAACGCTTAGCTGAGTGTGAACTCAGCCAAATCCAGCCTGAAACACGGGGAACTCGTGGTGCGGCGGTGCGGAGAAGGGAATCCAACGCTCTGGCTTAAAAGCTTGCGGCTCCGGGTAGCGGTCTGGATCGCGTCCCATGTTGTACCTGATGCAGCAGAGAAGTCAGGCATGATGGCAGGCTGCCGACCAGCATCTGGCGCTCAAATAGACCACCACTACCACCTAGTTTGGCCTGGGGGCGGGCAGAATACGAGCGTTGTACCTTTGGGCACCCTCCAACCACCCGGAAGAACATCATCTACCTGGGCGATCTTCGAGTCCACTGGAACTGGGGGCCACAAGCGCAACGATTCGTAGACCACCGCGTGCAAGTAGGGCAGTTCGTTATGAGACAAGCTCTTCAGGTCCATCGGCATACCTTCTTCCACAAAAAGGATAAGCAACGATATCGTGATGCTTTGACGAGTGGCCTGCTGGAGACTTTTTGTCAATCTCCTCCTGCAGACGCTTCTGCACATCAGGATTCCGTGCAATCTCGTAGAACATCCAAGACCTTCCAAAAAACAAGATGCCGCATCAAGATGTAACAAGCCACTGCCTGAAGCTAAGTCGAGCGCAGCAGACAGGCCGTCGTGTCTCTGCCGGCAATGATCAAATTCAGGACCATGTCCTTCACAAACTTTGTCGTGAACTTCTGTTCCTTCTGCGCCTGAAGAAACCTGCGCTGAATTCGACGAAGACTGGCTCTCAGTAGAATAGTCGAATAGCCCCAAAACTTTGCAAACACCCCAAATCTCCGCTAAGTAAATGCCCCGCAGGAGCAAGGCAAGTAGATCTCGACGATTGTCGCGCTGAGGATCGGCCAAGCAATCTTGCACCAGTCCTGATATCCGCTTGTTGGCTTCCTAAAGTGACGGCTGCTGTTGTGACGACACACGCTCTATAATGCGCTTCTAAATATGTCAAGGCATCTGTCTGCTTCGGCATTGATGATCCGGCGCTCCGCCATGAACTCCCGATGTGTGGGAGACAAGGTATCCCAGATCATGCGTGCGATTCCTGCGCGCTGCACATGCATGTTCCGGCATGCGTGAGTAAGGGCAGTGATTCGCTCACATCGGACACCATGTGCTGTCCTGTACTGCCCCCGAAGGGCCAAGGCAGAAATGTGCGAGAAATCAGGTGAAAAGAGAGAGACTTGATCATGTGCCGGCGCATTGCAGACTGAGCTTTGTCAAAAGCTTCGCCGTACTTGTTCTCTTTGCCCATGACGGTATTGGAGTCTTCTCCGAAGAAGATCTTCATGATGCTGTCCATCGTGAAGGTGAAAAACCCTTGGCTCACAGCACTTCAGATCTTGAGTCTGGCAGCTTCTGAGCCAAGTCACCCATCTGGAGGTCCACTGCCTCCTGTCATCGAAGCAGTGTATACCAGCCATCATTGACTGCAGAACATGTCCAGGAAGGTGCAAGGCATGCAGCAGCACGCTGGTATTAATCGATTCAGATCGAACTGCATAGACTCCACTGCATGCTTGTCAAAGCACTTGTGCAGCTATGCTTCTCCTGCTGCGTCTGTGGACGCGAGAGAAAACTGCGCAGTGCTTCAGCTTTCTCCACGAACACATCCTGCATCCTTGGAAGGTCTCGTGATGCATTTGATCATGTGCAGCGACGACAAGCGGTAGCGTGAGATGAGCCAGGAGTCAGGGAGTTGAAATTCTTCCGGCTAAAAATTTGAGATGAGATCTTCCGCATCTGCGCCCAAGCTTTCCCATCATCTTCGGAGCCTGTACCGTGCCTGGAAAAGCCCACAGACTTGTCAACTAGACAGTTGTGTCAGCCCATGCGATGATGATTTCAACCTTGAGTGCACTCGCAACCGACGCCAGCAATCAATCCCATGCTGCCCGTCAAACATCTTGCCTGACAGTGAAGATCCCGTCGCCCAAGAATTCCTGGCACTCATGTTACTTCTCGGTTCAGTTCACCTTCCATTCTCGATCAAAGACATCCAGGCAATGGAAGCATGTGCCACAGCACACGGTCACAGACAGAGCTCCTGCAAGTAAAAGAAGACAGGGTTTTCTGATGGGTCTCCCTTTGTGTACCTGACTGCAGGCTCAGCCACGGGGGCCTTGATGCCTGCAACTCTCACAATGAAGGCATCGAGCCAGGCTCACACGTCAAACGAGTCCTTCAAGAAGTGGCGAACCATTGCAGGGTCCCCGCAGATTACAGAGTGCCCCCCACTGCTCCACCTGCACATTTTTGGCTGGACAAGCAATGAAGGACACTGCAGCTGAGACGTGCCTGAAGCCCACGTTCTTGCAGATTTGCATTCCCTCGCAGATTTCGTAGCGCCAGTCGTTGACCTCGAGGCATGCATACATGCAGATTTTTGCATGGCCTCACTGTGGGAGACTTTTCTTCTTACAGATTCTACGTTTGGCGGGCGACGAGAAGAACGACGACTCGATGGAATAAGCCAGCACCGGATGCAAGGTGTAAAGCTAACAAGACTCAGCATTAGAACGCATGGACAAGCACATTGGACTTTGCTGTGAAAGAAATCCCGAGCCATCTTTGGCAAAGCGGCGCGCTGCCAGTTTTCTCTCATCCCCTTGAGCCAAGACATCGGCTCCTCGTTGCCTCGGAAAGTGCACTCGACCTTCTTGCTTCGAAACGGATGTTGGGCTTTTCGTGTTGTGTTGGGAGGGTACACTATAAAGGGACTCAAGGGGGAGACTGCGACTGTACCCAAAATGCCCACAAAACAGATCTGGCTAGACCCAGAATCCTTTCCGAGTTACCTTTTGTCGACGGAATGTCAGCCAGCATGTCCTTGCTGAGCAATGGCTGGCAGAAAACTGCAAAGCTTTCAGAAACTAAGGGCGAGGGTGTCATGTCACTGGTTGCGCGCAGCAAAGTGCATCGCGGCACCATCCCCTCCGCTTACCACGGGTTCGTGCTGGGAACAGCGTAGACCCTGTCAGAGAAGGCATGCTAATCTTGAGCATGTGTCCCGCGGAACTCCACTCCCACCCATTTCTTCGACGTCGAGCTATGAGGACTGCACGCACGGTAAGAAGGGCCCCTCGTAAATCATCCGCCCGTCAGAAAACGGAAATCATCCGCCAGTGAGGAAACGGAAACACAGAACCCAGCCGCAGGCGGAGCCCGAGGCAGAAAGCGACCACAGAAAGCTGGCTGCTGGCCGTCGTCCCAATCCGGGTTAGATGGGTTAGATTTTGCTATGTTATTTCGGGTGTCATTTCTGTCCAAGCGTCTCGCATCTTGAGGGACTCCCTCCACCCCCGGATAAGGCGGATAAAGACTTGGACAGCACCGAAAGCACCTCGCGAAATTCAGCGATTGCTGCGACAGCCCGACGGTTCTGTTCTAACAGTCGAGGAGCTGTATGCCAACAAGCCTTTCAACAGCAACTGCTTCGGCAAGGAGTCGACACTCCCAGGTCGTGACTTCGCATCGTCCATAGGCCGTGCACTACCACTCAAGGCAGCAATGCTTGCCGCGTGGCTACTACGTTGACTAAGGAGGCTGTGAACCAGTAAAGGCGACAAACCCACGTGACACGTGAAATGCTTGAAATATAGGCTGGAAGCAGTCAGGGACGTGGAAGAGTGGGCTTTCGTTTTCCCATTATCTTCTGACTCCGGCAGGGCTTCAGCCTGCCTGCTGGTCGGGTCGGCCTACTCGTGAGACCCCGAGACAGACACGCAGATCTCCCATCCTTCAAAAGTGTGCGTCTGCGGCCTGTCCAATTCTGGCCACTTGATGGCAGCGGCCCAGTGCTTGCGCATGCAACCAAACGATCCGTCTGTTGCAAGGCTTCCGAGAAGTCACCCTCTGAGTCTCCGTGCGGTCTGTCCTGACGGTTGGGGGCAGGACTCGGGACTGCCTACACCGTGACAGACTGTGCCAGCGCCATGGTGAATGTGTTCCTCAACCAGCACAGTTTTCGCTTTGACCATTGAGCTCAACAGTCGGCCTGCACCCGAGGCTGCTCACATGCTGTCGCATGCATCTAGTCTGACTCACGCTCACTGAGCCTAGCATGTACTCTTTGCAACAGCTCCCTGGCTCCCGCCTGCTACCACTCCCTGACATGGACAAGGAACTCCTCCTTGCCATTGCTCTTGATGTCAAGGGTAATCTTGTCACCGTAGGTGATGTTCTGTCCGGGTACCATCTCGAATCGGCAGTGACGAAGCAACTCCACTGCAGCTGTCTTCGCTTCGAAGAGAGCCATGTCCATGCCTGAAAGCATTCTCAAGGCTTTCTCCAGAAGCCCCTTTTTCTCAACAATAAAACGAGAGCCAGGAAGCCGAGGCAAATCCGCGGTCCCGCTTGGAAGACGGGGAACTCGTGTTGAGACGGTGCTGTAAACGGGATCCATCGTTCTGGGCGGAAAGCCTGGGCGAGCAGCCCCGCACGACGGAGGCGTAACCCTTTTCGACATGCGAGTTAGGAAAGCATGACAGAGACATATATTAATATAGAGGGACAGAGAAAGCGAGACGAGAGGTCTCGACCAGAGGCATGCTCCAGCTGAGTAGCCTCGGGTTCTGGGTATCGTTTTGGATCCCGGCCCATGTTGTAGGGGCAGTAAGCCACCTGTGCCAGGGCTGGCACTTTCCACCTGAATCGAGAAACCAAAGGCATCAACGTGCTGGAGTGAGTCTGAATTTTGATGCAGGCTTTTTCACCCTGTCTCTGCCAGGCACCCACCGGGCAGGACGTCGTCTTCGAAAGCCATCTTCGGGTCGAAGGGCACCGGAGGCCACAGACGAAGGGCTTCGTACATCACGCCATTCAGGTATGGCATTTCACTCGCCTCGGTATCTTTTCCAAGCCTACTTTGGATGCGTTTGCTCGTGTTTTCTGCATGTCCTAGACAATCTTCCTGCTGCATCTTGGGCACGGTTAGGCTCTTCATGTCAAGCTTCGTGCCTGAAGGAAACTTTCCGGAACGCGCAGCTTTCATTGCCAAATATGCGAGCTAAAGTCGCTGTACCTGGTGGCAGCTTCTCCATAATCTCGTCATGAAGTCGAGACTGAACCTTTGGGTTCCGGGTGAGTTCGTAGAACGCCCATGACCTGGGCATGGGCCAGACCTTCAAATAACCTGTTGCGGTGTGCAGACGTTCTCTATCACCAGGGGGCAATAGGCAAGCCGTGGTGTCTCTCCCAGCAATGATCAAGTGCAACACCATCTGCTTCACGAAGTCCGTGCTGAACTTCGCCTGTGACAGCTAAGGCGAGCTCTTCATGAGCACGGCTTCTGGTCGAACCAGGCTCGTGCACATCGTGAGCCCAGCTGCTAAAAAACATGCCTGCACTACAAGATGAAAGTGTCAACAATTCTCGCACTGCCTGGATAAACAGCGCGAGTAAGTCTCGTCGCTCGGGAAGCTTCGGATCGTCCCGACACTTCTTGACCAGACGGTCGGCCTTGCAAAGGGCTTCCATTTCAAGACGGACGACAAGCTGCACTGGTCAAGAAGCTACAAGGCTCCCAGACACCTGAAACACCCGCAAGTAGAACTGCGTTTTCGGTTTAAAGCCGATTCGTACTCCCCGGAGCCTCCCGATCGAGCACCCGGCAGGATGACTTCAGCGTCCGGAACCCTGCAGCTCAACTCAGGTCTCCCCGCCCAACATGGATGAAAGGAGGGACACCACATGGCAGAAACTAAGCTGTGAGCATCCTGGGGGGAACTAAAACCACAGTCAATCATTCCGAAATTCGACCCATCTGCATGCTCAACAACCCAATTGTCAGCCAAAGAGGCTCGAGGATGACCAGTCCCACAGCCAACGAGCCAATCCTCCTGCCCAAAAAGTCTGCATGAAAACAAAGTGGCTCAAGAAAGCTTCTTGAACGTCCCGTCCGTGTCGGCCACCGAAAGGCCACGGCAGGAACGTGCTGAAAAACATGAAGGGTGCCAGCGAATCCACAGCATGATTCCGCATGTTGTTCTGTGCAGCGTCGAAAGCCTCGGAAGGACCCCCAAAGAAACGAGAGCGAACGCCTACACAGGAGCACTGGATGAGCGTGCAGTCAAAGCCTTGCCGTACTTGTTCGGAACCCCGACAGCCGTGTTGGACTCTTCGCCAAAGAAGATGCGCATGATGCTATCGAAAGTGAAATTGAAGAAGCCTTGTCAAGGTTTTCATCCATCATCCATCTATTCGTGCGAATCCTTTTTCGATGACAACACGAAATGCGTGAGAAGAAGGGAGTCAATCGTCATGCCCTGCCTGTATGACTTTGAGTTGTTCCAAATGAAAACACTGCACAGGGCTCGGCAAAAGCTTCAATGTCGAAGATCGACGAGCAGCCGGCCACTTGAACGACACTGATAGGCAAAAGCGACCGCGAGTAAAGCACACTGCTGCACAGAAAAGAAAATGAAAAAGCAGGTACGAAAATCGATTCGAGGTCTCCGAACAGTCTCGAGATGTTTGGGGACCTGCTGTTCAGAACCGAAGTATGCCTTGCAAAATGCTCCGACCCTCACTTAACCAGACTGATGCTTGAAGCAGGGTCCGGCACCTCCATAACCCCGCAGATCCCCTCAAAAGGCCTTCCACCTGCTCATCCCTGAGACTCTCAGGAAGAAACGTATAGGGCTGCAAGCGAGATGCAAGATTGTATGTCCACCTGCTTCTTTTCGTCTCGAGATTTCTGCAGAAAACGACGCAATATCTCTGCCTTCTCCACGAAGACTTCGTTCATCCTCGTGCATCAACGGGCCAAGACTTGTGCAACCAGTAGAATCAGCAGAAGCTTCTATCGACCGAGGGGCAGTGAGTTGAAATTCTTCCGACTGAAGATCTGCGACGAAACCTTGCGCATGTGGCCCCAGTCTTGACCGCGATCTTCAGAACCTCTCGGGGCTTGGCATTCTCACGTCAAAGTCACGGTTCACAAAGGGGCCAAGCTGGCCTACGCCATGCTTGCTCACGAAAATTCCATCGCCCAGGAACTCCTGCCCATTTCTGTTCATGAGTCACTGAGGCCGCTAGCCCTCAGTTAAAGGCCATTTATACAATCGATGAAGTCGGCAGACAACAATCAGATCCTGGAAGTAGAAGAAGAACGGATCGTACAAGCATTCTGGCTTCGTGTACTTGTTGAACTCATCCTTCAAGATGTGACGCACGATCTCCGCATCGTTTGCGATCAAGGTGTACATCCCAGGGTGCCAGCTGAAGCCCACGTTCTTGGAAATCGGTTGCCCATCGCAGATTTCAAGACGCCAGTCGTGAATACGGTAGAGGTTCGTTGTAAGGTCCTGAAGACATGAGCGGCAGCATCTCCAAGCTAGAATGCTGACACCGATCGAGCAAAGAAGCTTTCCTTGAGCCAGCCAGCAGGTGCATCGTGCCCGGCTCCCTTCGTGGCGGGCACATCTTCTAGAAGGCCTTTCATCCGAGAGGATGCTCGCCATCCCCATATCAAGCGGTAGAGAACCTGCACCTGCAGTGAAAACAAGCGCCTAAAGACGAAAGCAAAGTAGCGAATTCAAGCAGCCAGGCTCAAGCGACTCAAGCAGTGCTGGCCAGTCCACAGCACCAAAGATACCGTAGCCCAAAAGAGTGTTGACGACCAGCTGCTTGGAAAGGGCGGAGCCTTTCGAGTCTTCCATTGCACCCGCGGGAAGCACAAGTTTGTTTGGCTTCCAACTATCCGTCGGTGCCAAACTGGCTGCAGAACACGCGCATCGCAACGTGGATGGATGCTGATGGATAGCTGATGATGCAGGCGAGAAGGCGGTCATGCCCAGCTGCACGTGTCCACAAGGGTCGTGGGCCATGGTATTCCTGGACTTCTAAAGCTGATGAGCATGACCTGGTGAGGCAGTGGCGTGTGCTGTGCTTCGGCAAGTTGCTTCTGAAGCCTTTCGACCTCAGGATGCTGTGTGGATGACAGAAAGTCTTCGCAAGCAAACTTCTTCAAGAAGGAGTCTCCGTACACCTGGGCGCCCGGCCTCACTTCGATCTTTTTCCAAGCCGACCGCCTGCAAGAGGCCGCAGCATCGAGACTTGGAAGAAGCTTGTTGAAAGACTGTCGCAGTGTGTCGCCAACGTTGCCGGGGAAGTGCTGAAATCATATCGAAATTCACGGATCTGACTTTCTTCTGAGATCTTCGACCCTTCTGTTCTGGTATCGGACTAGTACAGATGAATTTGTGGTCCTCTCGACATGCGCGCATTGCTAGCAGCCTCCTGGCTACATAACCTTCCTGTTCATCAACCACGCTGCTTAGCATCCAAGGAGACTTCACAGCTGCGACTTGTCAGGACTGCCAGCTTCGTGGCACTTCTGCGGTTCGAGCCTGCTCACCACATTGCTTGCGGAGATCTTCCTGTGCAAATTCGGGGGTCCCTCATGGATCCAGATATTGCGGTGATCGGTGCGGCCTCAGCAGATAGGCGCAGCGTGCGCTCTCTTTTCAGGCACTCCTGCCCAGGCCGCACGGCAATGCACCGCACCTCAGTCTTCAGCGCCTCGGGCAAAGACCGGCGACCCAGCCTCCCAACTCTTTTGAGCTTCACTGAACTCCTCCATGGCACGGTTTTGAGATCACACGAAATCGCACAGATGCAAGAACCAATGAGGCTATAAACTGCACCGATGCTTTAACGACTTGTGAGCTAAGCCCTTTCTGCACGCTGCAACTCCAGACACACGCAAAGCTTCCTGCACCGCTTTGTCCGCAAAAGCCGCCATCTGCAGTTCCTGCTATCAAGAAATGATGCATGAGAAACAAACTACAGAAGCGCATCTGTTGCACGGCACATACACACAACGGTCATCACAAGATCTTAAGATGCTTTGGGGATTATCCCAGGTGGCAAGTTGCGAAGCGATGCTGACACAATCCGGGCCTGGCTGGTGATCTTCTCGTTCAGCGCTTGGAGAGCTTTGTCCTGGGAACGAACAGGCGAACCAATCCGATCCCTGGCGCCGGTATGCGTCGAATTGTCGAATTGATCCAAAGAACACAGCCACGCAACGTCATCGGCCTTTTGACGTAAGACGCCGGTGAAGGGCTCCAAGATACGAACACTTCTTCCCCACTTGTATGCTCGACATTTAGTCCTGGGGCCCCTGAGGCTGCTCGAAACATATATCCGATTGTCAGTCAAACAACTTGCGGAATGTTCGAGGCCGAAAGAATCGCTCTACTGTGGATCCCACCGAATGCGTTGCAGCTGTGCAGGCGTGAGTCAACCTTCGTGGTTTGCTGCTTCAGCACTGAGGCACCCACGCCTTTGGCGCAATTGCCTGCTATTTCCTTCCGGCAGAAAGGAGCGAATGCAAAGATTCTACATGCTCAACTTAATAGATCTTCCAGTCTAAGGCGCAGCCAAACCAAACTGTTAGACTCTACGAGACCTCTTAGGCGGAGTCGCGCAAGGGCCCCTCCAGGTGACGACTCCCAGAAGCAAGGGCCATGAAGCACATCGGCAAGGACAAGATTCGGAATCTCGAAAGGAGTGGCTCCGCAATTCAATCCACGCTTCATGTGACCGGGCCCGCCAAGCCCCGTTTCAAATTGCTGTGGCAAGCGGGGAACGGCCCTTCAACAAGTATGTTGAATCCAACACGGGGACTAATGCTCAACAAGCGGAAGGTGCAGAGCGGACCCGACAGGAACACGCATCCGAAAAAACCGCTGGGAGCCAGTCTCCTGCGCATCAGACGGGATTCTTCTCACTTCAGATGGCACGTCCAACCCTGCCGCGACCGTGCCTCCCTGAGGGCCGGGTTGTAAGACCCCAACCCTGCTCCTCCGTGACAGCCCCCTCCCCCCCAGATTTCCCCCATAGCTTTGCTGATCAGCAAAACTCATTTCAGGCGAAAGATAACGAAAGATTAGGGACGGGAGACTTTCGCGTAGGTGCCTAAACGATCGTGATCTACAGAGCCCAGCTAGGCACATCTGCTGGTACATTCCCCCTCCCTATCGGCGGGCGTAGGGTGGGGGACCCCGGACAGTATGCCAGAAAAAGGTCTGGACCTATTTCGGTTGGGTCCGACACCCCCGCGATGTTGGGGGGGGTCAGCAGAAACCTTGATTCGGCGCATCCGCGGTGACCGAGACAGATGCCTAAGCCGACGACACATCTTTAGGTACACACAGGCAACATACATCCTTGAGATAGGTCTGTATTGATCCAAGATTCGGTCTAGACCTATTTCGGCGGGACCCCCCACCCGTGTTATAAATAGATATAGGTCCCGAAATGCGGAATAGTCTTGTCGAGCTGCTGGGAGTGCACGATAAGTTTGCTTCTCCCGGGCCTCCTCATCCAACCTGACATGCTGGGGTGAACACTAGATTACTAGATCAACGTGGTCCGTGACATGAGACGAAGCCCGTCATGGGATCGTCTTAAAGCAAACAACGTTCATGACCTGCAGACCTGCACGTTTGCAATCCAAGAAGCGCTTGACGTTCTTCCTCATCATCCTAGTAAGTGGCGACATCGGACCATGTTTCTAGAAGGATTTTGGAATGTTCCAGCGTCGCATGGCAAGATGTGTTGTACGTGTCGATGCGCTCCGTGCTTGTGCGCGCGAATTCCAGTGGCAAGCCCAAAGGGACCTTTAAAAACGTCTGGAATGCAGCGCTCTCTGCAAAAAAAACACTTTTCATTTCCGGAACTTGAACCTAGGTCTTCGCCTGGAAAAACCGCATGTTGGAGCCTAAAACCGATATTTGGCCTAGATTAGCCAATGTTTTGCTGTGCAAATGTCGATGTTCGTAGAGCAGATTGCGCTGTGGAGTCTTCTTGCCCGTGATTAGCAGGGACCGAGTGGGTCGAGCCATTTCCACAGCACTTTCGAATTTGTATTTCTTGATTCTTGAAATATGTCGTGTATTTCTTGATCCCCGCTTAGTTTATCTTTTTAATGCGTCCTCGACGACACCACGTGCCGCTGCAGCTGCCTGTCAGCAACTGTGCACGTAAACTGCACGGCACGCGCTCCCATCCGGCCTCCAAGCTGGCAGCAGAGCTGCGTTGCGGATCCTCATCTGGGAACAGGCAGGCAACGAAGCTTCAACGACAATGAATGGTGTCAATTCTGGACAAGCTGCCAGTCGTGGCAGTGGAATCGGAAAGCGCTTCAGCTTGTCTTGTTTCAGCACTTTCTCTAACCTGTCCATGTAGGCAATGTAGGCAGCAGGGGCCACAGCGTCGACTCCCCCCCCCCCCCCCAATGCGCCGCCAGCTAAGCTACGGATCGACGCCTCAAGCGGCTTGAGCGATAAGCGGTGGCGGAGGCTGCCACCACTTGAAGCGTCTCTCGCTCGTTGTTCCTCACATTTGCCACAACAAAATATCGCTCTGTTTGAACAGCCACTGCCTGAACACAGCGCCAGCAGTACTCTCGCCTCATCAAACGCTTCACAAGCCCTTCTGCCGGCCACATCCCAGGATCTTGATACCTGTCGCGGACCATGGACACCGACATGCCACTGCACGTATGGCAGGGATCGACATCACAGCTACCTCTTGAATATCTCACCATGCTACTGCACTTCCAGCAGCATGCCTCTTCCCTGTGCAATGGGTGTCGCTGCGGCACCGGCCTAGCCAGCTTCCTTCCGACGTATTTGCGCTTTGGCAAGAGCCTAAGATGGACTCGACGAGAGACCGTGCTCTTGAGCACTAACATCACGGTTAAGTAGAAACCGACTTGATAGCCAAGCAACTCATCCAACTCATCCAAAACGAAAACCTTGCCGAAATGGCTGGGCTGCGGTGCACCGCGTGATTGTGAAGATTGCATGGCGTCTTTCCGTCCTGGCCTCTACCCGGCCCAGCAGGTCTTTAACCTCCTGCAGGGTTATGTCAAAACAGGGTCGCGAACTCACAATTGCTTGACTTCGAAGCCAAATCATGAACACGCTCGGATGTCTCTTGCTGAATGAGACCACGGGTGGGGGGGGGGGGCACATGTTGTGCTGCCGCATTCCACAGGTTGCAACCAGGCAGGTCTTTTGCAGTATCACTCTTTCTGCCATTGCTTCCCTGATGCTTCAGCAGTTGATGTTGCACATGCAGCCAGTCACATGCAGCTGCGCTGCCCATCAAACCGAATCTCATTTCCTCTAACCGTCTAAGCCAATCAAGTCTGCTCAAATGTAAAACATGCTAATCACGATCTATCTACCTATCTAACTATCTATGTGTCTATCTAGTAGTAGTTGTAGTAGTAGTAGTAGTAGTACTAGTAGTAGTAGTAGTAGTAGTAGCAGTAGTAGTAGTAGTAGAAGTAGAAGTAGCAGTAGAAGTAGCAGTAGAAGTA